AAATGTTTCCATGAGAGTGTGAAGTAGACAATATTGAAATTTTGTGACTTCTGACTCTCTGCTTTCTGCCTTTTTACCTGGACTTCTGGCTGACCCACAATCCTTAATGCCCTGAAATCATAAATGTCTGAAAATCAATCCTCACTCAAATTAGCTGAAGGTTTTTCTTTCCCAGTGTCTGAATTGTAGTACATTCTCCAAACAAGAAGTTCTAATGGTAGAATTTCAGGCAAAGTAACAACAGTGAGTAATATATTTTGGCTAGAATCTCCTGCCTGTCATCACTCACATTAGACATAGCACCCCTAGATCATGATCCAGTCTACCTACTGGCTAATAATGTGGGGCTTGAGAGAAGTCAAAGAGAAAGAAAGCTAATGCTTCCAAATATGATTTTCAAAGCAGGGCAATGGATGAAGACTAACAAACTCCTTCTCAGCTTGGTTTTCACATCCACATAGACCTATCAAAAATTGTCCATCTGCCAACTCTTTTTTTATATCCAACACCCTCTAGCACTGATATGGTACTGCATGTTTTTAGAATAGTGCTTACATCGACTGACAGCTTTTATATATATATATATATATATATATACCCATCAGGAGTGATGTATCTTTTATTCATCTTCACACTTTAAGTGTCTGTCAGACTGTCAAGTCACCCTATCTTCTGTAAGGATATATCACCACAAAGGAAACTGGTTGTGACCTGCCACCAGGCCTCAGGGATTCACTCTGCAGGGAGACTTTGAAGATCCACACCACAGTAAAAGATCTCCAAGCTGCAGGATCCCCTTCTTCATAAAAACAAACCAAGAAAGAAATAGGATGAAATTGCATCAAGAAAATGTTTATTTAAAACTGAAGATGAAGTTGTGTATGTAAGCAAAAACAATGGAATCAGTATACTCAGGGATGGCTAAAACACCAGCTATGAAATGGATTTGAGTTGACCTATAGTGGAGGCAGGGCATTGGGCTAAGTGGCCTCAAGCGTATTTGTCATTGATAGCGGCAGCTGTATAGAGGACGCTTTGCGTTCCTCTTCCTTCCATCCTTTTTTTTTTTTTTCTGCTGCCCAGATGGCTTTTAATTATTCTCATATGTAAATATCATTTATAAGTGTATTGGCAGATTATTTTTCAAAATCAAAAGAGAATATACTGTGGGTAGCATCATCTTGAAATTTGAAGTCTCCCTCTTCTGGGTCATTCCAGGAAGCTAATTGAGACACAGAGAGGGAATGCGATCAACTCTCAGTGTTTCTAGGAGAAAGAAATGGAATTCCTAACTTACCATATCCAACCAGGGCCCCAGAGAGAGGACTGAAAGCCTAAATATCAATAGTGGGGAAGCCATGGTTTTAACTCAGTCAACTTTGGCCATCATTGCAGAGGATAAAGGAATGCTTGGCCACTAACTTCACTACGGATATAGTGTTTTGAACTCAAGACTGCATTCCAGTTCTCCAAAAGCCTACCCTTGATTTGGTGGTATAGATGAGGGGTTAATCTGCTGAAAGCCCTCATGACCCTACCAGTATTGGCTCAAGAACCAGTGTGAGTTGAGGTCTACCGATAAAGCCTCTAAGAAGATGGAGCTATGGAAAGCTGGAGAAAGCTGATGGGTTTACTTCTCTGATTCTGGATTCTATATGGACATTGGCTCCCACACTGTTCATTATATTAAAGCTTCATAGCTTCCATGATATCCCAAGCAACTGAACTTTGCTGAGTTCAGAACCCACACTTCATGTCGCAGGTATTACTACTTAGTGAAAGATGAGCAACACAAGCTCAGTTCAATGTAATTGAATGGCTTCTCTGGCTCTATCAGCAGATTAGTGAGGAAGGAACCTTTGCTCAAAGTTCTGGGTAGTTAGTATGACAACCAGCTAATCATGACCTAAAATAAATCTATGTATTAAACCTCTGGGAAATCTATAAGATCCAGGGTCATGACTCCAAATCAACTTGTGTTCATAAAGATGAGTGGGAACTTTACAAAGACAAAAATCATTTTTGAAAAATAATGAAAACAGGCGTTTCGTTGCTGCAGACCCATAGCCTTTTGTACCAGCTTACACAATGGGCACTGGGCCCACCCCCAACAATGTTAAAAGAAATAAAACACGTGATGGCTATGAGTTCCAAAGGAAGACAACCAATAACTCCACCACCACCACCACTCACAGAGTACTTATTTGGGGATGAATGCGGCATTCCTGTTATATTACTAATTTCATTTAATCATGAAAATAAGCTAACGAAGGCATTCTTAGCCTCATTTCACTGATAAATTGAACCTGAAAGAATAGATGGCTTGGCTAAGACCCCACAGTAAGTAAGTGGAAGAGCCTAGATTCAAACCTAAATCGATCTGACGCAAAAGCCTAGTTTTATAAACTAATTATGCTGAACTGCCTGGTAGAGATGATCTAGTAACAAATATGCTGGCATTGAGGGAAGAATCAATTTTTTAATTGGTGGAAACTCTTAAGTTCCTAATTTGTTCCCTCTCCATCCCTCCATTCATTATCTGCCATTCCACTTTTCCCAGAGAAAAGACACAGAAATCTGGGATAGCTGAGTTAGGAAAGCAGGCAGAAGCTAATGACCAACATAAGTTTGGAGGGATTTCCGTGGAATTTGTTCATAATTTCCATATATTATAATTAATATGTGAAAGACACCATTTCTGTTTTATAGATGGTGAATCCAAAGGGTATAATATCTACTATGGGGCCCCAAAACCCTCAACACTAGTCCAATGTTTCTTATTTAACAGGCTATCCTGTGACTGTCACTAGGGCTTCCTATTGACTGCTGCCTTTTTCTGAGTGATGAGGAGATGACCCATGCACCACAATTAGTGTTTGGGGCCTGTTCTGTGTCTAGCCCAGAGGGACAGACTGAAAGTTATACTGAACAACAGAGCTTGGGTTATACTTCTTACATCTGGGGTGCTAGAGAAGCCAGTGGAAATTTACTCTGGAAGTTCTACAATGAGAAATAAATTCCTCCTTTCACAATTGGAGGAAAAGTGATTTATCAGGGACTGCAAAGGAATTCTCTGGTTATTCTACATCTCTCATCAATCTCTATAAATATACATATAGAACAGAGCAACAAATCATATTTTCTTTCAGAAACACTGTTCTGTGTTCATGAGGAGACTGGTAATTTTATGAGACCTATTGATTTTTCCTAAAATAATATGATTTAGTCTTGAACTCCCATGCTCACAGATGAGGAGACGAGGGGTTGGCACTTTCAATTATCGAGAAGATTTTTTTTTCCATTGTGAGACAGAGGTTAAGGTTTTTTTTCAAATATCTATGGCTTCTCCATCCCGCTTTCACATTTTCCCCATGAAATATCCATAGCAAATCAGCTTTGCTAAAGAGGAAATGATGCCAAGTTAATTTAGAAGAAAAAAACTCTAGTATCGTATTTATAATAATATAACACACAAACCATGACATGTTTTTTGCACAGATATTAAATTTATTATATAATTCAAAGAAAATACATTTTTGAAATCAAGCTAATATTTTCAAAATTTGGGTGAACTAGCATGAAAAGGTTAAACCTGACCATCTGATAACTATCTTCCCTAAAGGGGTAAAAGAGAGAAATAAAGTGTGTGTATTTGGATTAAGGAGGGCACTTTTTGCGAGCAGCGGGTGTTGTATGTAAGTGATCGATCACTAAATTCTATACCTGAAACTAATATTGCACTGTATGTTAACTAGCTGGAACTTAAATAAAACCTTGGGGGGGAAAAAAGAAATAAATGCTTAAAAAAGAAATATTAAAAGTCTTTCTTCATGCTTTGTCAATAGTTCTCAAGACAACATTGTTTGGCTCATTTTAGATTCTTTCTAGCTTCCTTCTCACATTGGGTTTTCTTCAGCCTCCTCTCTGGCACCTTCTAAACCTTCTGCTTTCCTTCCACCTCCATCTCTCCTACCAAAAATGAGCTCAAATCCAAAGGAAGCCAATTACTGGAGATGTGTCATGAGTGCATGGAGAGTTTGTTAGCAATCACTTCTTTCAAAATTGTTTCCTTTACAAAATATATTTTCCAAAAATGAAAAAAAATCTCCCCGAAGACTGTAATGCTTTTTCATAAAACTCCCAAGGAGATCAGAATAGTAACTGCTTAAAGTTGTACATAAATTATAAACAATCACACAGAGGTGCCAAACACAAAAAAAAAATCAAATGGATACACAGCTGGTATTCAATCTGAGTATGTTCTGAAGAAGAACTCAAATGTGTACATGGGATTATGAGTATTATAGGATGCTTGGTAGTGTAGGTTGGGGGGGTGAGTATTGGTGTGGATTTACCTATGGACTCAGCTGGTACACGAGATATATGATAGACCTGGAGGGCCCAAAAGACAACAATAATTTTGTATCTAAAATTTCCAGCTTTACTTCCAATTTCTGGTCTGGCATTTAAGGGATTTAGAAGTTCCCACTATATTTTAACTACAAGTAAAAACCTGAACAAACTGAAGGAAAAAAAAGCCTCTTTTTAGGTCTGGCAAAGAAGTGAGGTCACAGGGCAAATCACTGCCCCATCCCAAGTTGGAGAGATACATGGAGGATGCAGAGAATCACCATTTACTAAAGCAAAAACCTCCATGGGAGCCAGTTCTGGGTAACAACAACAACAACAACAACAACAACAACAACAACAAAAAGCAACCCTGGATTATAACCGACAAATTGCTGGGAGTTCAGTGTATACAACTGAGAAGTAAAAATTCCAGTGGAACAATCATAGGAGAGACCACATTTATCTCTAGGAGTTCAATTTGACTCTCACAGTGGATAAAGGAGGAAAATCCCACTATGCTCCCAGCTGGAGGGAAAAAGAAAGATTATGAAATATTTCAGAGCAGTCTATTCTTCTTAACAAGTTCTGCACGCAGGAGGAACTATTTTACAGAACCTAATCTCTGGGGGTTTTATCAAAGTCTAACCTACCTGGGAACAGTGAAATAACCAATGTCAGCCCCTCTAGTTTTCCACACAGAGGAAGGGAAATACACAACTCCAGGTCCCACCTAAGAGAAGAAAAACAAACAAACAAACAAACAAACAAAAAACAAAACAAAACAAAAACCTGAAAAGCAGTGGTAAATTTCACAGTCCAGAAGCATAGGGCCTTCAAAACCATAGGACTAGAGAACACTTTCCTTCTCCTGACAGTTTACCACCACATTACTAAAATCCTATTTACTGCAGTTTCTTTTACCGAGTACATCATGTCTACTTTCAACAAAAAACTATAAACCATACTAAAAGGCAAAAAAAAAAAAAAAAAAAAAAAAAAAAACCAAAAAAATACAGTTTGAAGACATTGAACAAGCATCATACCTAAAGTCAGATGGCAGGAAATTTAGAATTATCAGAACAAGAATTTTTAATTCTTCTGATTTCTACATTTAAATTTTTGAGGGGCACCCGGTGGCTCAGTTGGTTAAGCGTCAGTCTTTGGCTGAGGTCATGATCTTGTGCTTTGTGGGTTTCAGCCCCACGTGGGGCTCTGTGCTGACAGCTCAGAACCTGGAGCCTGCTTCTGATTCTGTGTCTCTCTCTCTCACTCTGCTACTCCCCCACTCACACTCTGTCTCTCTGTCTCAAAAATAAATAAATATTAAAAAATTTTAAATTTTAAATTTTAAATTCTTTAACTGCTAAGGACTTTAATTGAAAAAAGTAGATAACATACAAAAAACTGGATTGCGTAGGCAGAGGGATGGAAATTCTAAGAATCAAATAGAAATGTTAGAGATCAAAAGCACTGTAACAGAAATAAAGTATGTTTTTGATGGCCTCGTTAGTAGGCTAAATGGGGCTACAGAAATAGAATCCCTGAGATTGAGATTGAGATTATGGTGATAGAAACTTTCAAACTTCTAAAACTGAAAAGCAAAGAAAAAAACCTGAAAAAAAAAACCCAGAACAGAATGTCCAAGAACTGTGCAACAATTACAAAAGATGTAACATATGCATAATGGGAATATCAGGAGAAGAAAGAGGAAAAAGGAAAAGAAGCAGTATTTGCAGCAGTACTGACTTAGAATTTCCCCCAAATTAATGTCAGACACCAAACTAAAGATCCAGAAAGCTCAGCAAACACTAGCCAAGATGAATGCAATGCCTTCCCCAAAATTCTACACCTAGACATACAATTTTCAAACATCAGAAGTCAGAGACAAGAAATTTTGAAAGAAGCCAGAGGAAAAAACACTTTACCTATAGAGGAACTAGGATAGGAAACCATGTCAACAAGAAGAAAATACGGTGAAATATTTAAGTGTTGAGAGAAAAAAATCAACCTCGAATTTCGTATCCTGTGAAATTATTCTTCAAAAGTGAAGAAATAATGGCTTTCTCAAAGAAAAACTGAGGGGATTTATTGCCAGTAGAACTGCCTTACAAGAAATGTTAAAAGAAGTTACTTAAAGAGAAGAAAAAAGAATGATACAGGTCAGAAACTCAGATCTACATAAAGAACATCAGAAAATGAATGTGAGAGCAAAATGAAATTTTTAATTTTTCTGATCCTTAATTGTTCTAACAAATAACAACTTATTCAAAATAATAACAACAATGTATTCAACATTGCATCCTTACATATATTTGCATATACATTTGCATATATATACATAAATGAATGACAACAATGACACAAGGGATGGGAGGAAGGAATTAGGAGTATTTGGTTATTATAAGGTACTTGCACTACCAATGAAGTGGTACAGTCTTATTTGAAAGTGGACTTGGATTTATTGTAAATGTATATTGCAAACTCTAGATAAATTGATATATTAAGAAAGGAAAGAAAATGCAGTCATATGTAATACTCAAAACCACAAAATGCAGAAAAAGTGTGTGGAAGAAAATAAGAGCAAAGAACAAGGACAACAAATAGAAAACAATAACAAATGTGATAACTAACAATCTCAGTAGATTAATATAATAATACAGTTTAATCTAATTAATATAGTTTAATATAATTTATTGTCACATTGGCTTCCATACAACACCCAACAAGTGCCCTCCTCAATGCCCATCACCCATTTTCCCCTCCCCCCCATCAGCCCTCAGTTTGTTCTCTGTATCCAAGAGTCTGTTATGGTTTGCCTCCCTCCCTCTCTGTTTGTAACTTTTTTTCCTCTTCCTCTCCCCCATGGTCTTCTGTTAAGTTCCTCAAGATTCATGTATGAGTGAAAACATATGGTATCTGTCTTTCTCTGCCTGACATTTCACTTAACATAATACCCTCCAGTTCCATCCATGTTGTTGCAAATGGCAGGATTTCATTCTTTCTCATTGCCAAGTAGTATTCCAACGTATATATAAACCATATCTTCTTTATCCATTCATCAGTTGATAGACATTTAGGCTCTTTCCATAATTTGGCTATTGTTGAAAGTGCTGCTATAAACATTGGGGTACAAGTGCCCCTATGCATCAGCACTCCTATATCCTTTGAGTAAATTCCTAGCAGTGCTATTGCTGGGTCATAGGGTCACTCTATTTTTCATTTTTTGAGAAACTTCCACAGTTTTCCAGAGTGGCTGCACCTGTTTGCATTCCCACCAACAGTGCAAGAGGGTTCCCGTTTCTCCACAACCTCTCCAGCATCTATAGTCTCCTGATTTGTTCATTTTAGCCACTCTGACTGGCGTGAGGTGGATTATATAAATGGTCACCTTAAAGGTCAATGGTCTAAATGTACCAATCAAAAGACAGAGATGGTCATAGTGTGTTAAAAAAAAAAAAAAACAAGATGTGGGGCGCCTGGGTGGCTCAGTCTGTTAAGCATCCTCCTTCAGCTCAGGTCATGATCTCACGGTTTGTTAGTTCGAGCCCCGCGTCAGGCTCTGGGCTGACAGCTCAGAGCCTGGAGCCTGCTTCAGATTCTGTGTCTCCCTCTCTCCCTGCCCCTCCCCCACTCACGCTCTCTCTCTGTCTCTCAAAAATAAATAAATGTTAAAAAAATTATAAAAAAACAAACAAGATGCAACTATCTGTTGTTTATAAGAAACTCAATTTAAATATAAAGGTTCATATAGATTAAAAGCAAATGGCCGGAGAAACATATACATACTAACTCTAATCAAAAGAATGCAGGAATAGCAATATTAATTTCGGTCAGAAAATTATCAAGGATAATTATGTAACAATAAAGAGGGCAATTCTTCAAGAAGACATAACAATCATTAACATGTGTGCACCTAAAAACTGAGCATCCAAATATGTGAGTCAAAAACTGATAGAAATGTAAGGAGAATAGATGAATCCACCATAAAGTTTGAAGGGTTCATTACTCCTCTATAAGAAATGGACTGATGCAGCAGATGGAAAATCAAAAAGACATAAGTGAACTCAACCATACCATCAATTAACTGGGTATGATGGACATCTATAGATTACTTTACTCAACAACAGCTGAGTACACATTCTCAAATGCACATGAAACATTCACCAAGGCAGACGACACTCTGGACCATAAAACACTAACAAATCTAAAAGAATAGAACTCAAATAATGTCTTCTTTCAGACCACAATGAAATTAAACTAAAAATCAATAATTAAAAGATAGCCAGAAAATCCCCTCCAAATTCTTCGAAATTAAGCAACACATTTCTAAATAACACATAGATTGAATTTAAAAATTGAAAGTAGCTGAGCGAAAATGAAAACACAATTTATCAAAATTTGTGGGATGCAAACAAAAAAAGTAGTGCTTAGAGGAAACCTTACAGCATCGAATGCATACATCCAAAAAAAACATCTAAACTCAATCATCTAAGCTTCTAGTTTAGACAAATAGAAACAGAAGAGAAAATTAAATCCAAAGTGAGTAAAAGAAAACAAATAGCAAGAATTAGAGCAGAAATCAATAAAATTAAAAACAGGAAATCAATACAAAAAATCAACAGAATGAAAAGTTGTTTCTTTGACAAGATCAGTAAAATCAATAACCTTCTAGGTAGGCTAACCAAGAAAGAAGAGAGCAAATACTAAGAGAACTAAAAGGAGAAATAAACAGCAATAAAATAGTAGTTGGAGACTTTAGTACTCTGCTCAACAATGGGCAGGTCATCCAGACAAAATCAATAAGAAAACAGTGGATTTGAACAACACGATAGACAAAATACACTTAACATATATAGAACATTCCATTCAACAGAAGCAGAATACACAATCTTTTCAAGCACACAGGGTACCTTTTCTAGGATAGAACACATGGGGCCACATAACAAGTGTTAGAAAATTAAGGAAGGTTGAACTCACATGAATTATCTTTTCTGACCACAGTGATATAAAATTAGAAATTAATAACAGGAGGAAAATTTACAAATACATAGAAGGTAAACAACACACTCTCGTATCACCAATGGATAAAAGAAAACAAAAGGGAAATTTTAAAAATGCCTGGAAACAAACAAAAAATGGAAACAAAATATATCCAAATTTATGGGATACAGCAAAAGCAGTTCTAAGAAGGAATTTTATAGCAATAAATTCATATGTTAAGAAAATTAAAATATCTCAAATAAACAACCTAACTTTAAACCTTAAGGAAGTAGAAAAAAAAAGAAGAAACTAAAACCAGTGAGTGGAAGGAATGAAATAAAGATTAGAGAAAAAATGAATGGAACAGAAAAAAACAATAGAAAAAGATTAATACGACTAAAAAATGATTTCTTGAAAAAATAAAATCGACAAACCTTTAGCTAGCCTAACCAAGAAAAAAAAAGAGAGGACCCAAATAAATAACATTATAAATGAAAGAGGAGATATTACAACTGATACCATAGAAATACAAAGGATCGTAAGAGACTATTATGAACAACTAACTGTACCTCAACAAAGTGGACAATGTAGAAAACTGGATAAATTCCTAGAAACATATTACCTACCAAGATTAAATCATGAAGAAATAGAAATCTTTACAGACAAATAATGAGTAAGTCAATTGAATCAGTAACCAGAAACCTCCCAACAAAGAAAAGCCCAAGACCAGATGGTTTCATTCAAATTTTAC